TGTATACATTCAAATATATCATATTTAATCTAGTAGGCAAGTGAGTTTTTTTTGGTTAATATCATTTTTACCTGTTTTTTTTTATACTGTGTGTAATACTTCTTTCCATTTTTGTCTGGTTGTCATCTTGCATAACTAGATATCAGTTTCTGAAAAGACACCTCGGCTAGACTGTGCATGCGATGTTAAGCCTATTTACGACCTTAGTACTCGGACGACATCTACATAATCTAGTTATACCTTCAGTTGAAAAAAAAATATTCTGTATGGTGATACAAATGAAGGACAAATTCAATTTTATTGGGCTGTTGCTTGAATGTTGCACGACCGGGAGAGGCGAGATTAGAATCTGTTACTTTTGGTCTACAGTCAAGAGTCCTTGCCTATTTCTTGGTATTTGTTCACACATTTTGCCGCTGTGGCCAATATCCATCGACCTTGTGCAGAGACCTTGAAGCGCCCAATAACTTCATGCAATACTCATCACACGCTAATTTGCTTATCTATCGCGTCCCAGGCAGGTTTAAGTATATTATGGGGTTCATGTCTGCGCGAAAACTAACTTCCACTCCATACCCGATGTCAAGGTTTTGATAGACTTTGGGTTGAGCTATACGTCCGCCTTACCAGAAGACAAAGGCGTTGATCTCTATGTATTGGAGAGAGCCTTCCTCAGCACACATCCCAATTCCGAAAAGCTGGTATGTGCATGACAAGCTGGTAAGTGAATGAAAAACTTGTCAGTGAATGAATGTCACTTGCTAAGTATTGTCTCGTCTTGTATTGGATATACTTTATGTTGGGGATATATAATTTTGTTCTAGTTCGATGGCTTTGGAAGGTCTTATAGTCCAACACACGACGACTGTCGGCAGCATTTGTTAACATACACGTATTCATTTCGACAGAAACACCCTGGGTGTTTTTCATGATTCTCATTAGCTTTATTGTTAGGGGATTGTCTGTGCGCTGTAGTACTTGTGATCATTTACGCATTGCTGTTGAGCTTGTTATTTTCGATAGGCAAACGTACGGCGACAAACAGTACAGAATGCCTATACAAACATGCGTGTCTATATCCAAAGTGGCTGGCACATACATCTATATTGGTTGCGTGTTTGCAGTGTGGCTGTATACGCTTTTTATAATCCGTTAACGTGGTTGCAGGTGGTTCCTCCATACATCACGGTCCTACTAAGCACACCATCAAATACATTCCACCTTCTCTTATGAACTTCAAATTTCGTCATTCCGCGCAGCTGAGTCTTTCCGTAAACTAGTATCTAAGCTGCAATAACCTGTACCTACCTGAATCTCTTTTTGTGTACTAAAGCCTATTCACTAACAATATACGGGGGTTGTTCGCTGCTCACCCTCCATACAGTTCGAGCACGTGTTGTCAGCGTATACCCAGGCGTATGAGCAGTCAGGACCAGTTATAACCCGCCTGGCCGATGGTATGTCTCGCTACCCCAATTAGCACACCTGTCCGTGTTAGAAATGTATCAATTGTGTCTATTCATACGGAATAGAGTGATGCTCGTGTTTTGTATTTGGAATATATAAGATGTGTCTATTTATTCGGAATGTAGTGTTGCTTCGGGAATCGTTTAGTTTTTGTTGCACTTGCGGATTTCTGAAAGAACAAGATCTTTGGCATTTGAAGAGCGTTCAAAGGCATTCATTTGGCGGCCAAGTAGACTATAAATTGCCCGGTGTAGAAGGGGTCACTGGGATCGCTCATGTTCTTCTTTACGCTTGTGATATCACACATTTTTGATGACTTGTGCGGGTGGGATGTTAGAATACTGAGAATGATCGTAAACCCGAAGATTTTTTTTAGGTCAGAAATATGCTAAAGCGTTTACCACGAACACCCACTGGTTAATTTCGGTATTTCATTCCTATTCCTAAATTTCAGTACGAAGGAGGGGACGGAAACGTGACATGAGCGGATAACATCTTGGATGATTGGTTTTTAAATGAAGAGTGGCCAAAGTCAATCGGCAGTGTATCCCGTGATCTTCGGAGGCTACCATACACTCGTACATAAATCAAATAAATTCAGATCGATGAGTCATAGTACGCCCGCACCCTGTAGTTGTTCTCAGGTTTATTATTAGCAACTCATTCAACTGGTTGCTGTTAAGTGTCAGGTTACTATCGAGGTGAGTAACTAGGTATTCTCTAGGAATGTGGTACTTGACACTGCCACGCGCTATGTAGCCCTATCACCCGGAAATGATTCGATCAAACACCTTGTGTTCAATGGGTTGAGAACTATGCAATTATATCTTCAAATTGAAAGCATGTTTACCAGACCCGATTAGTATTTCGGAATTTTCTATAATTTTAGTGCATTCACCTGCGTACGATGAATCAAGTCGGTAATAGATTTGAACTAGGGTCGCACATATTGATACGTTTTGCAAATACGAGCATTGCATGTACTTGGTAAACTTTTCAACCACCATACTGGGTTTCAACAATACTAATAAGAAGCAGAAC